TTTGTCAGCCTGGCTACAGTGCTGAAGAGAAACCTGGGGTTGTTCTTATTTTCTTCAATCAGTGATGAGTAGTAAGCTGTTCTGGCTTTGTGGAGGGCTTTCTTATAAAGCAACAAACTATTTCTCCAGGCTAAATGATGATCCTCTAAATTTGTGACACACCATTTCCTCTCCAGATTACAAGTTACTGCTTTAAGTTAAACGTTTAAGAGTTACTCCAGAGTACTTCTGATTTGAGGCTCTCTTTTTCACATTAGCTACAATTTCCAGACTCGTGTAATGAAGAGGTGAAATGATTAAGAAGATAATCAACCTCTGTTGGGATAGCGCTCAGGCTGCTGTTCTGCTCTGTGTTGGTACTAGTGTTTGCAGGTTCGGTGGCTAATCATCTCGTGTCTAAACGCAGTCACTGGAACACCACCTTCCATCACACATGTCAATCCCAGAGCTATTGTGTTGCCGTCTTTGGTGCGGGAGGATTTTTCCTGAGTTGAAAAATTTGTTTAGACAGATCAAGCCTGCATACAAGAGAGCCAATTACAGCAGCATAATGCTGTCTCCAATTAGATTCGCAACGTGCACTCTGAGGCAGGCACTGCTTATTGTCCTGCAGATTAAACCCAGCAAGCACACTGGCCCTCTGGCCTCACCGCCTGCTGTGAGCCTCAGGCCTCTTTTTTCCTTTGTCTGCAAGTCAAGCTTTAATGCATGAACCCTGTTGAGCTAATTGCAGACATGAACTGTCCGCTAAACATTTCAGGTGAATCTTCAGACATGTTTTAGATTTGTGATATCTAGCACACTGCTAGAGGTGAGATTAAATATCCTGTTCTAAAAATAACTAGTAATAATTAAATTAAATCCATAAAAAATAATGTTTGGGTTACTGGGGGTGAAATCCAGTCATGTGACCTTTAAGCTGATAATTTAACCATCACCAATTCCTTTGCCCTTCTTTGATTGGTTACACCATTATCCAGTGGTATAATCCTAATATACTGCATAACATCATTATGATACCATATCATTCTCAAACTTGTGCTGTGTAGTTGTGTGTTTTACAGTGAATTTTCAGCTAAACAAGGATCTGGCTAGATTGTCTTGATTTCTAAATATCAAACAAGAAATACTGACGAACTGACCCTACTGCTAACCCTACTATACTAACCCTAACAGGCCATGAAAGCCTATAATTGATATCTGCCCATTTTTGTCTTGTGCATATTTGATGATATTAGATTTTTTAGCTTTTATAACAGTGCTAGTAGCGCAGCAACCTTTCTTCCTTCGTTCATTTGAAAGTTGCTCCATTCAACTCAGACACCCTGTTTTTAATAAGCAGTCTCTTTTTGCACCCAGCCAAATATAGCATGTAGCACTTTTCTCCTTATGAAAATAAAAAAATATGATTGACTGACCAATGAGAATTCGGTTGGATTCGAGGGAAATATGGCCCCTGAGACTAAAGTCCTTATTTACATACCTAGAGTCAAACACAGACTTGCAGTGTCTGAGGATTCAGTGAAAAAGCACAAATCTTTGCTGCCTCATCCCAGGGTTGTGTCTAATATAATGGATTCAGTGTAAGAGATGAGACCTTAGAACAGCCGCTGTGTATGTAATGAGTAAGAACAGTGACTAGAACAGCTGGGCCTAAAATGAGGCATACGAGGTTTCAGCTTGCAGCAATTACTTGTGACTTCTTCTTGGCTTGGCGTTGCAAAAGAACTGTTTGTGTTGATTAGCTGACAGGATGTTGTGATGTTAATGACTGTGAAGAAATTGCAATAATGAGTTTTAAGGAAGAAGTGAGTTGGTGTTAATAATGGTGAAGCAATGGAGGGAGGGGCATGAAAACATTGCGGCTGTCAGCCGATGGTTATCTGATCTTCCAACATCAGCATCAACTAGACTCAAAATTACAATCCCAAGTCACAAAAATGCTGTGCAAAAATTAAAAATTTTTTTTTTTACAAAAGTTTAAAAAAATATATTTTTTTACTCACTCTACACCAAATATTCACATATGTAGTGCAACTTGTCAGGACGCTCAAAGTTTTTAAAGCACATCAATATGACTGATTTTGTGAGACAAGGGCCTTTCTCATGTCATGCCTCCCTCACATGAATACCATTTGTGGATCGGTTGGCCTGATCTTACCTCTAAAGTCGCTCTTTTAACTGGCTAATGTATGTTTTATCAGTGTGATCTTTAATTGAGTAGCTTAGTGGGTAAATTGCTGGCCTTTTACCGCTGCTGTGCTGAAGGTTGTGGGTTCAAGTACAGCAATGGACACTTTTCTGTTTCACAAAACAACAAAAACGACCACTTTAGTAAAGCTTGCTCTAAACTTGTCTCTATAGAACTCATCTGATACACCAAGAAGAGACTTAGTGCTGCTATTAAATTCATAATAACCTTTTTGAACGTTTAAACATTAAGTAAAGCAACACGTACTTCACCATATGTGCAGCGATTCTGCTTACAGATGTGCACAGTCATCTCAAAAGGCTGATTCATGCTAGTTAAAACCATGCTAAGTTGTGGCTATTATGCCATTGTGCTATGACCAGCATACATTCAGCAAAACAATAATATGTCAACATAAAGTAATGATCAGTTAATAAGGGTGTTCATCCCAACTGTTTTGGAGTTGGGGTTATACTTTGCAATCACAGGTTAAATATCAAATCTGATCTATAATCAGAAACACTGTCAGACAAATCTGCTGCAAGTCTTTTCAGTTGTTGCTGCACATGCGTTCACATGGTTAAACATTTAAAGGTTGAAGATCTCTCCTTTCCACTTTACTTCCAATTATGAAGAAGTTACAGCATGTTTCGATGGGCTGGTTTCTGAAATGTAGGTTAAAGTCATGGAAAAACAAACAAAGTCAGACGCTTGCCCTTCCTGTGGTCATATTTAGCTGTAGGTTTCATTTCGCTCAGACGGCTCCTGTCCAGTTCTCAGTATAGCCTGTCCAGAGTTGTCTTCTCAAAATAGACTTCTTGACTGCAGCCGTTCTGATACTACCTTCATTGCAAGACAGCGTCACAAGCGCTGCCTTCTTTAACGGCTCAAAAACAGCGACTCCAGTATTTACACTGTCAAGCTCGTGCCACTCGAGGAGCCGTAGGTTTCTAAAGCAGGCCTAAAACATATTCTAACACTCGTATTTTCACCAGTGTGCAGTACACTCGTCAACACATGGAGATCTCATCAGCAAAATACTATACAATAACTGCCAGTGTTCAAAGTAAGCACTTAAATAGAAATAAACACATGCACACAAGTATATCGGCTGTTCAGATATTAGAATTATGAGTTTATTATGATTTAAAGCAACGATGTCCTGTCTCCACAGATGCAGCAGCTCTTCTATGAGAATTATGAACCAAACAAGAAAGGCTACATACGCGATCTCCACAACAGCAAGATTCATCGAGCCATCACACTTCACCCCAACAAGAACCCCCCCTACCAGTATCGCCTTCACAGCTACATGCTCAGCCGCAAGATCGCAGACTTGCGCCACCACACCATCCAGCTGCACAGGGAGATTGTCCAGATGGGGCGCTACGGAGCGGTCGAGCCTGACCGAGAGGACCTCCAGCTCGGCATGCCCCCTTCGTTCATGCGCTTCCACCCCCATCAACGAGAGGAAGTTCTGGAGTGGGAGTTTCTGACGGGAAAGTACCTGTTCTCGTCGTCTGACAGTCAGCCACCCCGTCGTGGCATGGATTCCTCTCAAAGGCAGGCCCTGGATGACATCATCATGCAAGTGATGGAGATGATCAACGCCAACGCCAAAACACGTGGTCGTGTTATTGATTTCAAAGAAATCCAGTATGGCTACAGGAGGGTCAATCCCTTGTACGGGGCAGAATATGTTCTGGATCTGCTGCTGTTGTACAAGAAACACAAGGGAAAGACCATGACGGTTCCTGTGAGGAGACACGCCTACCTGCAGCAGACTTTTAGTAAGATCCAATTCAGAGAGGAGGAGGAGATGGATGCCAGAGGTCTGGCCAGCCACATCAACAAGGAATCCGACTCCCTCTCATTTCTGTCCAACTCGCTGAAGATGCTGGTGCCCTTCAAGCTGGCTACCTCTGGTCAGGATCAGAGGGAGCCCAAAGAAAAGAAGGTCAACATCCTGGTACCGCTGTCAGGCCGCTACGACATCTTTGTGCGCTTCATGGCTAACTTTGAACGAGTATGTCTGATCCCCAACCAAAATGTTAAACTACTGATCCTGCTTTTTAGCACCGATAACAATACTGAGCGGGTGAAGCAGGTGGAACTTATGAGGGAGTATCACATGAAGTATCCTCGAGCAGAGATGGAGATAAAGCCTGTCCCCGGCTCCTTCTCCAGGGCTTTGGCTCTGGAAGTTGGTTCGTTACACTTCTCTAACGATTCCCTGCTTTTCTACTGTGATGTGGATCTGCTTTTCTCCAGCGAATTCCTCAAAAGATGTCGGACTAATGCTGTCCTGGGGGAGCAGACGTACTTCCCCATCATCTTCAGTCAGTATGACCCTAAAGTAGTATATGCTGGGAAGGTCCCCAGCAACAACCACTACGTCTTCACCTCTAAAACAGGCCTGTGGAGGAACTACGGATTTGGGATTGTCTGCGTATACAAGAGCGACCTGGTTCGAGCCGGAGGCTTCGACACTTCCATACAGGGCTGGGGGTTAGAGGACGTAGATCTTTATAATAAATTTGTCCAGTCAGGGATCAAGTTGTTTAGAAGCACAGACACAGGAATAGTTCACGTTCATCATCTAGTCACATGTGACCCCCACCTGGATGTGAAGCAATACAAGATGTGCCTGGGCTCCAGAGCTTCCTCGCATGGCTCCACCCAGCAGTTGGCTGAGCTCTGGCTCGAGAAGAACAACCACGGCTTCAGGAGACTGGCCAGCAATAATGGGTCAGTTAGGACAGCGTAAGAAGTGCTGGGTTGTCATTAACTGAACTCACTTTCCCTTCTTAGTAGTAGTTTCACTGCTTAATTTATTTTTTAATGAAATTAAATAATTCACATTGATATATTTTTAAAATATCTTTCTTTTTTAAAAGAAACATCCTAATGAGCAGCTCGTCTGGCCAGTCTGTTCTCTTTCCTGATTGTTGCCGGGGCTCCTTTTGCGCATACGTTATCTGTCAGGCTACTAGTTAGTTTGGTTATTAATGTTCGCCTCAGTAAAGTCCAGTCTTTCAAAGCAGACTGGTGTCCTCTCAGACCAACAGTGCTCAAACTACATTCAGTTGCTGATTGTGAACATGAATGAAACGACTGCCTGGGCCGCTTCTTTGGAAAGCAGATTTAGGTGGTTTTCTTTTACATTTACTCTCATGGTTTTGGTGATATGACTTAACACTGTTTTTGTTTCTTTTTTATATATATATATATCTATATTTTGTATTGTTAATTTCTGTAGACCCAACTGCTGAATCTGCAATTCATGATTTTCTATCTAATTTATTGAATTTGCAGGCTTCATTTTCTACAATCTGCTGAAATGTGTATGTGGGACAGTTGTACATGTCAGTTGTGGTTAGTTTTCTTTTTTCCTTAAGCTCTCTCACCAAAGAGTTTTGCACAGTCTGCTTTTACATTTCATGGTGTGTGCGTGTGTGTGCGTGTGCGTATGTGTGTGTGTGCGTGTGTGTGTTTTGCAGGCATGAACATGGAACTAGCTCCATAGTGGAGGACACACAAATCAAATCTTTTAAATGGGTGAAGTGTTGCACATCTGGCTTCCACTTCAAGCTTGATTTAGCAGCACTTTGATTGTTTAAGTCGCATATTTTATAAGGTTTTCTCTTTTTTCCAAATCAATTCCTCTTATGTTGACATGAGAGGTGTCATTCCTGTCTAGTTTTACAGGTTTGATGACAAATCATTTCCTCTTTCATGCCCCTGCCTGTGAACTTCCACTGTAGGACTCTGTTGGGTTTCTGCAGCATTACAACATGATTTATAACACTGATCACACAAGCAGTTACTGTGCTGTCATCATGGTTTGATTTTCTTGGACTTTAAATGTTTTATTGCTTTCTAAATGGACAAGGTTTTCTATTTAAAAAGAAATAAAATTGGGGGAGAGTAAATGCATTGTGTCATATTTTTCTGTCTCAGTTTTCCCTCCACCAGCTCACATACTGTGTGTCAGCCACCCGGCTGATCCCTGAGCCTGGTTCAGGAGTTATCTTCCTGTTAAGACACCACACACTCTTCCTCCCTTTTGGTTTCTATGTGTTGTCGAGTCTTCATCTTATATAATAAAGCTCTTTGAACGGGCATGTAATTAAATGTAAACAAAACAAAACAACCATGATTATCAGAAATTCCGAGGATGTGAGGCCTTTGTTAATCCATCTTTTGAGGCATTGATTACTAATCCATAAAAAGAATCATTTCACAACAGGCTCAAACTTCAAAGTCGTAGTAATTTAGATTGTGAGCAATAACATGTCAGCAACAATAAATCATGTCCCTCAGAAGCTCCACTGAAAGAAAGGAGTTTAATTTACTGGTAGTTCAGTCATCTCTTCCTGTACTTTTCAACGACACTGAGCAGTAAAGCTTTCCTAACATAAAAGGCTCGATCTTATCATTCATTAAAATGAATACAATCTTTCCTGGTTGTAAATAGACTGATGCTTATTCGGTGCTTTTCTAATCTTAAAAAAAAAAGCACTGAATAAGAGGCCGGCCACTCAAAGGACCTACGAGCAAAGCTACACACTTTGGGGAGGTTGTCACATGACAATTTGCTCCAGGCCCAGGAATTGCAGCAACCCATACAACGGAGGGGAGGGGCCAGACTAGGCAATTTTCTTTTTTTTTGCTTTTTTTTCTTTTCTTTTTTTTTTGCCTGTCCCGTTTGGCTCTTTTGCATCAGAATTTTTGTCTAAAGGCGAAGAAAGATGCCCAACGGATTTACTTTACCAAACAGACCATCCCAGCCTTACCGTAATGGTCTATTTGATTCACCTTTTATTGTTTATTTTATGTTATTTTCACTTGCTAGATACAGGACAGACTTGAATGAGGAAAAGAAAGGGGAGAAAGGAAGAGGGGGAAAAACAGCGGAGAAGAGGGACGGGGATAAAGTGCAAAAAAACAAAAACCAACAGAATAAGCAGAAAAAAAAATCCATCTATCAATCACCTGGATCACCTGTTGAGAAAGAAAAAAGAAAACAAGCAGAAGAAAACGAGAGTAATAGAATAAACAACATCAATGATATATGGGAATATGACAGTAAATACTAAATATTAAACATTATTGTGCAGCACGTAAGATCGACAGCACACAGTGTGCTTTGAGGTAGGAGCCAAAAAGGGTGTAGTTTGTGTGTGTGATCACCCGTTCAGGTTCCTTCATGTAATGATCTGCTAGAGGGTGTGGGGGGGCCACAGCCC